ATCCACCGGATGCCTTGCAGATGCGACCGCCTTGCTGTAAAGGTACTACCACTACATACTCACCCCCATAAATTGTCTGTGCTTTAGGTGACCATGCACGGCTACCAATGGCTTGGCCAGTCGAATGGCCAATGGCTCGTACACGCAACGAATCGCAAAAGTCCTTAAGTAACGACCTCCGAAAGAAGTGGGCCCACCGCCCATCCCCTGAAACTAGAGGAGCCAAGGTTCAAAAGTATAATTATTTTTCCAATCAATAACCTGGATAACGTACGATAAACTGATGACGATTCAACTAGAGAAGGTATAGCTTATTCCAGGAGGCGTCATGAAGCGCCTTGGTAAAACAAACCCCCCAAAGTTTCATCAAGTGACAAGAAGGTACTAACAGCACCTTTTCTTCAAATTGAAATTACTAAAATTGACAACCTTGCATCATTTTTAACAGGAACGCATAAAAAGAACGTTTGATCGTATTGAAATTAAAAACTCGACCAGAGCAGTTAAGTATTTATAACGCAGACTAACAAAGCAGTGCATCATGAACAGTAAAAATAGTTTAAGGTATCTTACATCACGGTCTCCATATAAAGTGCCCACCAACATGAATTTGAACTGAAACAAAAAGTTTCTAAACGATTTATAAGAACTCAGTGTTTTTACGAATTACCCCCACAGCCTTAGAGGAATAAAGCCGTCCTCTCATAGAATTTGAACAAAAAAAAAAAAGGAAGAGATACTTACAGTAGAGGTCATTTGCGTCCCCTCATGGGATAAGAAATTCTCGCCCATATCAAGTTTCTTTTCTTTCGTAGGTTCTCGCGCGTTTAGAGATGCCCCACACTCCCGTTTTAGGTGCAGGAATCACAACCAATGCTTACCTAACTTTTTAAAGATGCTACTTTTAGCGCTTCCCCAAATCTACACACGCGTATTTCACTTGCGGAAAACTATCGATTTGCACAGTGTTTAAATTGGAGATTCTCGCCCATATCAACATTCTTTTCTCTCGTAAGTTCTCGCGCGTTTAAAGATGCGCCACACTCGCGTTTTAGGTGCAGGGCTGCACACCAATGCTTACCTAACCTTTTAAAGATGTTACTTATAACCCACCCCCATATCTAAACACGTGTATTTCACTTGTGGAAGTCTATCGATTTGGAGAGTGNCTCGCGTTTTAGGTGCAGGGCTGCACACCAATGCTTACCTAACCTTTTAAAAATGTTACTTATAACCCTCCCCCATATCTAAACACGTGTATTTCACTTGTGGAAGTCTATCGATTTGGAGAGCGCTTGGGTGAGAGATTCTTGCCCCTATAAACTTTCTTTCCTCTCCTAAGTTCTCGCGCGTTTAGAGATGCGCCACACTCGCGTTTTAGGTGCAGGGGTCCCAACCAATGCTTACCTAACTTTTTGAAGATTCTACTTTTAGCGCGCCCCATAATCTACACACCTGTATTTCACTTGTGGAAAACTATCGACTTCCACAGTGTTTCGGTTGGAGCTTCTCGCCCAGATACACTTTCTTTTCTTTCCTAAGTTATCGCGCGTTTAGAGATACGCCACACTCGCGCTTTAGGTGCAGGGATGCACACCAATGCTTACCTAACCTTTTAAAGGTGCTACTTATAGCCCTCCCCCATATGTAAACACGTGTATTTCACTTGTGGAAGTCTATCCACTTGGAGAGTGCTTCGGAGAGAGATTCTCGCCCCCATCGACTTTCTTTCCTCTCGTAAGTTATCGCACATTTAGAGATGCGCCACACTCGCGTTTTAGGTGCACGGATCCCAACCAATGCTTACCTAACTTTTTGAAGATGCTACTTTTAGCCCTCCCACAAATCTACACGTGTATTTGACTTGTGGAACTCTGTCGCTTTGGACAATGCTTGGGTTAGATATTCTTTCCCATGTCAATTTTCTTTTCTCTCGCGTGTTGTCGCACGTTGAACGAGGCGGCACACTCGCGTTTTAGATGTGGGAATCCCAATCTCTGCTTACCTCGCTTTTTAAAGATGCTAGTTTTAGCCCTCTTCCAAATCTTTAACGTGTATTTCACTTGTGGAAGTCTATCGATTTGAACAGTGCTTGGATGGATATTTTTACGATGTCAATTTACTTTTCCCTTCTCTTTTCTCGCGCGTTTAGCTATACGGCACACTCCAAGTTTTGGTGTAGGGATCTTAAACTGTTCTCACTGGGCTTTTTAAAGATGCTAGTTTTGACCCTCTCTTAACTTTACACATCTGTATTTTCTACTTGCTAG